CGCGATATCCATAAGATCGCGATAAACGTCTGGTGTCTGTCTGAATTTGCGCTAAACGCGGCAGACGGAATCATTTGGCTGGATGATATCCGTCTCCGAAGGTGAGTGCGCTCAACTGTGACACAACGACTACCTTCTCTAAATATTCAGTCAGCAAAGTGTCACAGACAAGTAGAAATAAGTGCGTCTATATGCGTTTATTGGTTAGTGACGAGATGGTGTATTTCCAGTTGGACCCGTTGCTACCATAAACATTATTCCAGCAAAGCGAAGCGCAGGAATTCGTGTGACACCTAAACAACGAGTGGAACAGTTCCAAGCTATAACCGATAAGTTTGTTCCCAATCGAAATGATCTATCCCAAGAACGGCACTTCACATCAGTTGGATTTCTTGGTCGTGGTGGAACAGCTCATTGATACCATCCAACCTTTGTTTTATTCCTCTTAATCATGAGCATTTTGTGCATGTATGTGAAGCGGAGACAGATATTAAGGAATAATATCCATCCATGTTTAACCCAGGTTTGGGGAGGTTTGAAGGATTCGTTTATTTGTCAATAGAGCCCTCAATACGACCGATTGCGTTGCCAACTAGAAGAGTTCTTTTTACATTACTTGGCAAATTCGCCACCGAATTAAACAACGACAAAATTGAGCGCAAGCGCTAAGGTCGATAAGCTGACAGACGGCGTTAACGAAGTCGATATTGTTACGCATTTTGGACGGTGATCTGTGTCTGCGCATAGATCCTAAGCCGCTGAATGAAGCTTTTCGTAGAGAACAGTATGCTCCGCCTACGTTAGGTGATGTCCTGTCACGTTTGGCTAAGGCGAAGTTCTTCACCAGCTTGATCTCTCATCGGCGTTCTGGCACGTGTTTTAAGACAAGAGATCCTATTTCTGACAACCTTTGCCGCACCCATATTTCGTTTACGCACTGACTGACTCGCTGGAGCGGGTATGTTTAACTGAGTCTCATGAGTGTAGCAGCCTCGTTAGTTATGGAAATGACTTACTTATTTATAGCTAGGTACCTACATGCTTGTCAGGCTATTGCATTTACTGAGCTCGCTTCGCTGAATAAACCGTCCGTAGCTGATGGACCGAGTTCTGCGACACTATGGCCTTGCCCTGCTGATGTTGTCGATTAGCTTCGTTTAATCAGAACGATTTGACACAGTCCTACCGTCGTGTGCGCATCATACTGATTCCACATATTTTCAATACACAGCTGATAATAAGACGCGTCATATATGTATGCAGATTATTCTGTTAAAATGTTGGTGCATTTTGCCATTTTGGATTGTGTATTCTTTTGGTCGATATTCTGAATACTGAATACAGATAACAGAGAGCGAGAAGATAAAAATCTGTGGTGCTCCGTCATAGGTAGATCAGGCACAAGCGCGGAATCACGTTGCTATTTCCTGCGCAGTGGCAGCATGTTCCAGCTGCACAACCTAATCGGGTACGATGCGCTCCCTATACCTGTAGGCCGCAATGTGGACTTCAAGGAATCTCTTAAATTCCGACACCGATTTCGCCTTGATTAGCGTCTCCTGTAACTTGTTCCAATATTTCACCACTCGAAGCTCGAAGCATAGACGGTGAGCGATGTGCTTTAAATCCGGTGCCACTAGTTTGTACCGGTGTCCGTGTGTGCTGCATGGTGTGCAAACGTGCAGCAGCGGCCTCAACATAGGGAAGTGGCCCAGGTGCAATATCTGCTGTGTTATAATGAGATCAACTCGAAGGCGATGATATGACAGGGTGAAAAATCCTCGAATGACACACTTCGTAAACTAGGAATGAGCCGAGTAGCTACATGATGGACCCGCTCCAGTCTCTGCAACTTCTATTGTGACCGGTCATTAGGCGGGTGAAGCGTACTCAAACACCGATCTTATTAGGGAAGAATACAGATAAGTGGCAATCACTTCAGACCAAGTGCAGAAGCTGCGTCTAAGCGCCCTAAGCAGGCGTAGTCAGTTTTCGTATAGTCTGTTCGTGTTATCGGAAGACTTCAGATCGTAGCGTGAGAGGACGTCTAGATCCATTACGGAACGCGTAAGCTTCAGCGGGTGGTCGCCCAGAATTAACGCACGCCCATCACTACTCCTCGCGTTGTTCATATCCGCCATCGACAAGTCCACGTCTACAAGCTTGGGGCACACGATCTGAAGACC